CATTTCAACAAAGTACTTAAGTATTAATCAAATGCCTTTTGTCTTTGATTGGAGCATAATATTGATTAATTTCATTAATCATTTCAAACACACAAGAAAATCTGGGGTAGGTGGCACTAATTGCCAATAATGATTGAAAGTGCATTTTGACAGTCAAATGTTTTTAATTACGTCTAATTGGTAAATTTAAAAGTGTTTAGGACACGTTTGATATTCTACTTGAATTTAATTTTTTTTAACTTAAAAACAGTTTTTAAATCTCAACTCAGTAATCCTTGTTTAATAGGACTATCTTCAAAAAGTAAACTCAAACCAACTTAAAAAATTAGCTTATTAATAAAAAAACAGTGTTTTAAAAAATGCCCTAGGCGGTCCTAGGAGGTTTTTTTTTTTATCTATTTTTTTATTAATTGCGTGCTTTTTTCTTTTTTAGTTTCATGGTGGTATACTTATGGAAATGGTGTATCTAATTTGCATTTTATCATTATTTTATTATCCATACAAGTATAATTTTTTTTAGGTGTCAATATGCACTTATTTACAAGATATACAAGAAATTTACCTAAATCCGTCTAGGCCGCCTAGGCACTAGGCGCTAGCCCGCCGCCCAACTAGCGCCTAGCGTTTTTTAGAACCTTGATAAAAAACCAAAAAGGCAATTTTTTAAGTCTTAAAACTCATCTTGATCTTTTTTTTTCCCTCTCTCTCCTCCTAGTCTCTCATCTTTCTTCCTATCTGCTCTTATTTTTCTCTCTTCTCTCTCCCAATCCTTTCCTCATATACCTCTACTTTCTCTGTCTCTCTCGTCTCTCTCACTCCAAAATCTCTCTCTTCGTTGTCTCCGTTCTTTTGATCCTCTCTCTTCTCTCTCCCTGTCTTTGAAAACAATTTTGAATTTATACCAAATAAGTTTTTTGGTCTTATGAAATATTGGTCTTAACTTAAGAAAGGGCCTTCAGAAAAAAATTTGAAAATAATAATTTTTTTTTTGAGGATATTAAATAGGCCCTTAATTACTTGAAACACATGACAAGTGCTTCTTCTTGCAATACTTGAACTTTTGCTAACGGTTTGTGTGTGTGAATACTCATAGAAGAGTTAAAAGTGTTTTATGACAATTAACGATACTTTTGACTTTTGAGCGTATTTGTCAGAAAAGAGTTTGATTTCTAAATAGAACTCTCAAATGCTTTTACGTGGTAGTATCGAACTGCTCCGGAGCTGTCGAATTCTCACCAAGGCGTCCACTTGAGTCTTCAGGATACAAGCTGTACCAACTTTTTGTACAAAGTACCAACTTGTTTAAACTGATAATGCAGACTTTCTTTGGTCACACGGGCTTCTATTTTTCTTGGTCGTTTCCTGCTTGATTTGATCCCCTTTCATTTTGATAGTCTGATTATTCGATTTGTGAATTCAATTAATCTGAAACGAAGACTTATAATGTTCAGGTTAGAGAATGCATGACGGAAGCTTTGAGTAAAATAAGTAGGAAAAAACCTAGAAAACTTGGAAAGATTTTCAGAAAAAATATAGAGTACTTGAAACTAATACAAGACTTGATACAAAAATGAGCGCCACTGAATTCATGCAGCCGATCTACTTAGTGGATAAAACTTTTGATATTGTTGTTGTCGAGTTGTGTGGCTCATGAGTCATAAGTGCTTTTGCTTTTTCTCATCGATGACTATTTGCAGTGTCGTGCCCGAAGGCCCTTCTCATCATGACATGGACATTGAGAGCAACCCGTGTGTGCTGATTGAATGGCTATGAGTGCACATTTGGTGCTATTCGTCTTATCACTTGTTTTGGTCAAATTTCAACCCAATGTTTTAATTACGTTATAATTGTTTTGATTTAAAGCAATCGATTAAGTTTCATAGCCAGATTAGGTCGTTTACACGTGCAAACGAATCTGAAAATGAGTGGACATTGAGTGCTTGTGGTCTTACACTTTATCACATGTTTTGGTCAAATTGCAATCTAAGTTTTAATTTTTCGTTGTTTTGGATTTGAAGCAATCATATTAAGATTATACACAAGTAAATTAGTAATGCGACCACTAATGTTACAAATGATTCCATTATGAGTGTCATGATAAGTTGATTATATGTTCAAGTGGATCACGCGCTCAGTAAATAAGAACTATTAAAATCAGCATTGTCGATATTTTTATTTACAAGGTACGAATGACAATTTAGTAAATTAATAATATCACAAATGATTCCAAAACAAGCACTATGGTCAATTGAGTACATATGCAGGCGAATCGTATATCTATAAAATAGGAATGGCCATAATCAGTATGATGTTGGATTCCAATATAATCAATCATCAATGTCACAAATGTTTCTTAGAAACATAACGACTATTAGGATCATTTGACTACACGTGCTAGCGGATCATGGATCCACAAAATAGAAACGACCAAAATTAGCGTTGCCAATGTTTTAACTGATAAGATACAAATTCTAATGTAATCAACATCAATGTCATGCATGTTTGCATAACGACTATTAAGATCAATTGACTATACGTGTAAACGGATTATGACCAGTCATGCTTTCTCAAAATAGTAACGACTAGTGTCACGCTCTAATCCCAAGACATGACTAAAAACAAACCATTAGTACTACATCGTAGTACCCTTTCATTTTATTTTATGGATGCACCTAACCTTAAGGTTAGACTATCTACAGACCTGATAAAAGGATCAAGCCAGTTGTAGTTCACCATTTTGTTAAACTAAAAAACATAGAGTTCCAGAACCACTCAATAGAACTCAACAATTATGATTCATTACATTCAAGACTACTCAATGTAACCATCCAACCACCAGGATTCCAGATAACTTAATGAAATTCCAAGAATATGGTGCTTCGGACAAACTAAAAAAAATCATGCACGAAGTAGGATTCCAAGCTGACATTGCCATGTTTATGTTGACAAGACAAATTCCCATTGATTAGAATTAGTCTAAACTGTGACAGATAAATGATATAGTTCAAATAATTGGTCTCTTCAAACGTAATCGATATAGAGAATTCAACCTCGAACACAATGATACATTCTCTTAAACTGATGTAGGCCATGGACCCACGTCATTATTATATTAAACAAGCGGCAGCTGGAATTTAAGCATTATAATTAATATGTGCATTTTTGGAGCTATGATGCATGTATGGTGCTTTAAATATATGGCTTATGATTATCTGAAATCTTTTAGTCTTGGTTTGGTACTGTGATGATTTTGAAAAAAGCTGGTATCAAAAGAGCTGCCAGCTTTTTTGTGTTTGGTAAACATTTAGCTTAAGTATTTTTTCACAGTTTTAGGTGAAAAAAGCCAAAAACAGGAAGCTGCAAAACTCAGCTTTGAAAAACCGGTTTTTTTTTTTTTCACATTTGTTTTACATAAAAGTTTACTACACATTATAATACAGTTTTTTTTCTTTTCAAAAGCACTTTTACAAAAAAGTTTACCAAACACTCAACTACTTTATTTCACAGCTGCTTATTCTTACAGCACATCAGAAGCAGTTTTTTTCAAAGCACATCAATACCAAATTAGCCCTTAGTTTTCTAGAAGTTATATTGTAAGTCTTTATTTCATTTGTCTTCTCATATTTCTCACTAAAAGTTGTAAGCCTATAAATACTCGTAGTTGTAAGGCATAAAAGGAGTGGAAGTTTTTGGAATTATCATATTAATATTTGAGTTGTAAACTTGTTTTTAAGTGTCTTTCTCTTGTGAGATTGTTCATTTTTGTTCTTTTAGGTGTCTACGTCATAGGCTAGTACTAAAAAAGAAGTTCCTAAGATTTTCTGATCTCTTCTAGCACTAAGAGATAGTAGACCCTACTTACTTATTCTTTTAAGAACAATTAATAAAAATGACTTGAAAACTTTGAGTTTTAACGATAAGAACAAAATAAAAAGTAAAATGAATAATATCAAAATTGATTTTTTAATGTAAAAATGTGATTTTTCGTTAAAGTGAACAGTACCAGAAACTTTTCGTTAAAGTTTCCATTATTTTACCTATCATTTCATTTTTATTTTCCCACCACATTGCATCCTTTGCATCATAAACTAAAAGGTTACCATCATATACTAACATCTAAAATAAAATCAAAGGGAGTCGAATTTAAAAAGGCAAGCATGATGAAAAACATTGGAAAAAAAAAGGAATCAATGGATCATCAATGATAATATACCGCAATTAAAGAAGATCCCCAGGGGTACTTTCGGCATAAAGCATCGTTTTTCTTGCCTATTTAATTGTTGCATCAGGCATCTCTCTCAGGTTCTCAGTTCTCAATCCAACCACATCTGAAAAAACACAAAAACATCTTCAAAATCTCTTCCCCTTTTATTTCTCTGCTGACACATCTTCAAATCTCCCTTTGACCGCCGTGCACTGTCTCTCTCTCCCTCTCTCCCTCTCTCTCTCCTCTGCAAAATAAATATATAAATACAAATAAATATATATAGTTTGGTTTTCCAGATTTTTTTTTGTTGGGTTTTCTCCCATCATCATCCTTCGCCTTTTCGCCGTTCTTGCAGAGAAAGGCTCTCTACCCGTGTTGTGAGATAAAGAAAAGAGAGAGAGAGTGAGTGATCCTTTTCTTATTTCACTTTTGGTTCTCTCTGCACTGCAAAAGCTTCACACATCGTGGATTGGATTGATTAAATACACATCTTTTTCTGTTTAAGTGCAGCACTTATATCCCTCTTCATAATTTGACTCCCTCTCTCTTCCTATCTGCGCACGCCCTATCTGTTTTGTTCAAAGTTCCAAAAAGCTCTGATCCGACGGCCACGATCTTCTCGTCATCCATTCGTACGGCAACTTCCTCTTTATTTCTCTACGTAAGTATTTCTCCCTCATCAAATACATAGCCTTATTGACCAACCTTTCTCTCTCTTCACTCTTTCTACGCTGATATACGTACTTGGGTATTTTTATATCACTATATATGCACGCTTTCTGTATTCTTTTCATTTGTTTACTGTTGTATCTTCATAAATCTTATGTTTTTGTTTCTTCTTTTTCATTCGAAATTACGAAATTTCATTTCTTGAAAAAAACCCATGTTTTGTTTTTAAAATCTGACACTTAATCTTTGATTAGTTCCAACATGCAGTGATTTAACTTTGGATTATATGACTTGTTAACTGATATGGGGATTCTGGATTTTGGCTACTGATATCTGATTTACTTTTTCTGTTGAAATCTGCTCGGGGGGTATTTGAGTTTCTGCATTTCGTTTGCTAAGTGTGTTTACCGCTTGTTTAGTACATGATCAAAGCAGTGTTTGATAGCTTTTAAAGCCGTAAATTTCGAAAATTGCTTGATGAGTATTTTGCTAGTGTTCTCAGCAGCTAAATTTGATCTTGTATTGCTGGTATACCTTATAAGAGTTTGTTAGATTTCGGTGGTACGGTTTTGGTGAATTATTAATCGTAGTTCGTGTTGTTGAATGTAATCTAATGATCCTTGCACAGTGTGCATAATTGTTAATTCGTTTCAATTCAATGATGTGTAGAACTTCTTTTGCTTTCTGGGTTTGCAAAACTAGGTTAAGAATTTTGAGCATAGATAATAATTATAGGGATTAGGTTTGAGAGTCTTGGACCTTAAGCACACATGGGTTAAGTGTGGGGAAGAATTGTTGATGAACTTGCTTTAGTTTGAAATATTAGATATAAACAGATATGCGCTTTTCCAAATCAAATACCCTCGAAAAGACATTGGGCAAACCAGTCTATAGATGCCTACTCAATTATGTCCAAAACACACCCCTAAAAGTTTGAACTTTATATGGTTTTGTAGGTGGAAGTGGTCTATATACTTGATTAATTGAAGGATTGTTGTAAATTTTCCGCTGTGTCTTTGTAAATTTCTATAAAGGAGTGGTAGAATTTTATGTGGGAAATTTTGTGTGGAAGGGGATAGTTACTTTATAGAGGATGATGCTGGATGTTTGTAGCCTGTAGGACAACCTGCAGGGACTGTACCCTTATGTAGGGCAAGATGCATCACATTGTGCGTGACTAGATTTTCCATTTCTTCGTGAAATCTATGTCCCAAACATATAGGACTCAATGGTTTTGTGGGAATCGAATATCTGCTTTGTAACATTCATAACACTACAAGGAATGGGACCTTTACGGAACGGGACATTATATCTTTCTCTATTGGTCTTTGCTTTAGATTTTATGTTACATCAATGAGTCATCTTGTGTTAGGAGTTAGGACCCAATTTGGGAGGTTGTGGATTCTATATGATACGATCTTTTTAAAGCTGAATTCTTTTCAAGAAAAGAAAACTTGGGGATTGTATGGGAAGTGCTTTTAATTCACTGAAAGCGTTTTTAGAGAAAATGCTTTTGGGTTCCAAAAGCATTTCCTAGGGTTAACTTGCATTTTTACTAAGGATTGGTTTCAAAAACATTTTTCTCTAAAAACGCTTTTAGTCATTTAAAAGCATTTCCCAAATGAGCCCTTAATCTTTATAAAGCTGAGGTATTGTGGTGATACTGTAATAGCATATGTGTCTAAAACTACCACTTGCATATCTGGTATAAGTGGGTCATGAATAATATACTTTTCATAGCATTTTGAAAAGCTTGTGTTTATTTATACTTATCATGCAAAAATAATAACCTTAACAATGTTATCTATTATTTGTAGTGAACAAGTAGGCACCTTGTACTCAAGGCTGATGGAGCCTAATGGTCATAGGAGAGTAAGGAGAAAGGATGTCCTAGAAAATGGTGACATGAGTCAGTCAAATTCAGGTGATGAGCTGGATCCATGGACTGCATGGGCTTACAAACCTCGGACCATTTCAATGTTGCTTATTGGCGCATGCTTCCTTATGTGAGTGCTCTTTCCACTAAGTAGATTCTCTAAAAATAGTAGGTTTACAGGTTATTTTCTGGATCACAAACTAAATACTTCTGGTCTTCTGCATTATTTACTACAATCCCTGCCAAAGCTATTGGGGCATCAGATGGTTTTGGGCAAGTAATATTCTCATGGATTTTATTTTCTTCTTCTTACAGTTGTCATATAGAAGTAGTTGAGTTGTTAGATTTCAAGCTTATGTGATTGCATTAGCATGTCAAATTGTCTACCACCGACATAGGTGATGCAATGATGCTTTTAGGTCCCTCTATTAGGCTTACAGAATTTATTTTCCAATTGTAAATGGCATTATTAGGTTTTGTAGTCTCTTTTTAAGGTTTAACAGTGTATCTCTCTAATCATTTGATTTTGCCGTTCATGCAATTATAGTGACTGTTACAAATTAGCATGCCTTACCCACCACATCCCAGGCCTTAGGTCTCCTTTTATACTCGACTGGTCATTGTTGAAGAAATTGTGAGCTGTGTTTGTATTAAACAATTGGTTAATACATTTTCTTAGCTTGTTGTCTGTTTAAATGTACCAGTTGGGTAAGTGGATCCCTAGACCCAGAAAGCAGTGCATCTGGAGATGTTGTTACATCTGTAAAAAGGTTAGTTCTTATTTGTTATATTTGGTGATTAGTTTGACAGTATACTCTTATTTGCCTTTTACAAATACCATGCTGACTCTTTTCCTGCAGGGGTATATGGGCGATGATTGCAGTTTTTCTTGCTTATTGCTTGCTGCAAGCCCCATCTACGTAAGTTCTTGGATTGAGCTAGTTGTATATTTTTTATGGTAAAAAAATGTTTCTGCCAATATTTTACTGGATGGTTGTTTTGGTAACGAGTGGGATTAAAAAATTTTGATTGGTTTTACTTTTCCCTGTTCGTTTTTCCTATATGAAAGTACTTCTTTTGCTACTAGTATTCACAGTAGTAATCGGGTGAGAAATTGTTAGCTTTATGTTCTATTATGTTTCATACAGGGTGCTTATCAGACCACATCCAGCAATTTGGCGCTTGGTTCATGGAATGGCTGTTGTTTACCTTGTTTCTCTCACATTTTTGCTTTTCCAGGTCAGTTTTTGGCTTTATTATTATCATTGTTTTTATTTTTATAGTATTATAATGAGATTTTTCTTTGTCGGTTCAGTGTATACATGCATGTATGTTGGTATATGCAAGTATAAAACCTGAAAGTCTGTTTGTTGGAAGTTCTAATGTCTTCAGTATTGTGATAGTTAATTTTGGTTTCTCACTTTACAGAAGCGTGATGATGCTCGGCAGTTTATGAAGTTTCTCCATCCAGATCTTGGTGTTGGTAATGCAATTATTTTTTTTTCTTTCAAATCTATTAATGTGGAACTTTAGCTGATAAGTTTCTAACCTAACCTTTCTTATCTTACTATGGGTCACACAATTCCTTGTTATAAATTTTTAATATGGCATTTTAGCTGATAAGGGATGATTTATCATTCAATTTGTTATGCGTATGAGATTTGTAAAGCATTTTATACTCAAATTATTTGGGATGCCTTAGGTAGGCTGCATAATCAAGGTATTCATCTGTTGTTTGTATTTCTTGATTTCATACAGAACTTCCAGAAAAATCTTATGGTGCCGATTGTCGCATATATTTGCCTGAAAATCCTACTAGCAGGTTTAAGAATGTTTATGTATGATTTCTTCTTTCACGCCATCCATTTTAATTGTTTCTCATGTATCGTTATGTTCTCAATCTACATTAATACAGTATCAGGGTCTGAATCTTATAATATCTCTTTCTCCTTTCTCCCCAGGAAACTCTTTTTGATGAATTTGTTGTGGCTCATATAGTTGGATGGTGGGGAAAGGCTATATTGATCCGTAATCAGCCCCTTCTGTGGGTGCTTTCAATCGGATTTGAGTTGATGGAGGTTAGATTCTTGACCCTCTACCTAATTCTATGTACGCTCAAGTGGTTGACTTGATATTAATCGAAAGCTTATTTGGCACGTTCAGTTTACCTTCCGCCATATGTTACCAAACTTCAATGAATGCTGGTGGGATAGTATCATTCTTGACATTTTGATCTGCAACTGGTTTGGTGAGAATTCTCTTACATTATTTTGAGCTTCTCTTAGCATAATATCTTGCATATCTTAGCGAAGGAGTTCTGTTATTTGTCCCATTTTCTGTCGTTTATTTAACTTTTTGGTTTATTAGCAAATAAAAGTTCAGTTTTTATTTTTAGTAAAAACATTGGGGCTACGGCTGTGGTGCATGGGATGTATCTTGGTCAGTTCCCTAGTAGTATACTGAAACTTTTGCTTACTCTTGAGACTGTTCTTCGGATTCAAATAGATTGACTCACTTGACTAAAATCTTTTTGATTTTCCATTTGTCAGTTGATCATAATCTCCGTTTATTATTCGATTTGCTAAGAACTTTAAGACCACCAGTTGCTTATTATGCAAAAACTGGCACGATGAGATCTTGTATTTGCAGTAATCATTTGCCAAATCTACCATCGTTTTTTCAATAAAGTTTGTAGTTAAAAGTCAATATCTAGAGATTATTGTTGTGGCCTCCTGAGTTTTCTGTTTGGATACTTTGCAGGTATCTGGGCAGGAATGCATACGGTCAGGTACTTTGATGGAAAAACATACAAGTGGGTTGGTCTGAGCCGTCAGCCAAATATTATTGGAAAAGTATGTTTTGGGTTTCAGTTACACATTTTGGTTGAACCATGATTGCATTATTTTTGCTAATTGGCTTGTGGAATTTTTTAACTGAAACAGTTATAATAAATTGGAAGTAATCATATAACATGGGCAAATTTCTTTAGCTACTGCAATTATAATAAATAGTTAGTGTGGTTTCGACATTGTTATTTGCAATTGGTTTTCTGTACGTAGTTATTCGCAATATGTGATTTTGGGAGATGCAATCTGTATGGTTTCAGGTCAAACGAACACTGGGGCAGTTTACACCGGCTCAGTGGGACAAGGACGAGTGGCATCCCTTGCTAGATCCATGGCGTTTCATTCAAGTCCTCACTCTTTGCATTATATTCATGACTGTAGAGCTTAATACATTCTTTCTTAAGTTCTGTCTATGGATTCCTCCCCGGAACCCCTTGATCGTTTATAGGTTAATCCTGTGGTGGCTAATTGCAATTCCGACAATTCGCGAGTACAATTCATACCTTCAAGATCGGTACTCTCTCTCTCTCTCTCTCTCACACACACACACACACACACACACCCCCCACATTTCATCAGAAACTATTTGCAATGATGTAGTTTACGGCTTACTCTTTTTGCTCCACTACCGTATTTGCAGTAAACCAGTGAAGAAAGTAGGGGCATTTTGTTGGCTTTCTGTCGCTATTTGCATTATTGAACTTCTCATTTGCATCAAGTTTGGACATGGTATGCACTTCTTTTCTTCGGGTTCCTTGGTTTTGTGAAATTTCTCCGTCCATTGATTGACAGATGCTAATTTACTTGATTTGTTTTTATTGCTTTTGATCAGGATTATATCCTAAACCAATGCCATTATGGCTGGTAACGTTTTGGGCATCCGCCGGAGCGGCCCTCGTGATTTTTTTGATAATCTGGTCATGGCAACTGCATCAAAGTTTACGGCGAAAGAGGCAATGAATTTACAATTGTGTACATCATTCTTTGATTTGCTTCGTCGTCTCAAAGGGTTTCGATGTCGATGCGTGTTGTAAATATTTTATCAGCTTTTTATTAAATTTGTACATCCATCCTGATTTTCTTATAGATTAGTGGATCACAGTTCCTTGAGTAGAGAATATTCATTCTTTTCTTGCAAGGCAGCTGGTGAAATTACTGGTTTGCCCCCATTACTGGCAAATTTTTAAGAGGATGAGCCTTGTTTAGTTTTTTATTTTTTATTTTTTATTTTTATGGGTTAAATTTTTGTTTTTTGACAAAAGCGTTAGGGTTAAATGTTAAGGGAAGGGAAATCGGTGGTGATCGAATCTGCATTAAGGGGCATAATTATTATTACTTTCCAACTTTTCGTCATTGTGGTAAAGCGCCACTTGCAGTTAAAAATTTGTTAGTTGCATCAATATTTCATCTATGTAATAATGTACCAAATGAGTCATGGCAAACAGCTGAGTCAAATTTCATTGATGGTATAGAATTTGTCAATCCGCTTTGCTCGTTCAGATATGTGGAAATGTTCGTGGAGAGAAAAACTTGTGTGCAGGTGTACCGATTGTAAAGCACGTCTCGCAAAATGTGATATCTATATTTCGTACTACATGACTCCTTATTGTAGTTTCTCTCGAATGGAAGTTAAAACGAGTAAAATTATGTTATGTAAACAATTTTAGTGATGAATTTACTATTATTCTTTACAAATAGTATTACGACAACGGCTGTACAAATTACAGACCCAAATGAAATGACTTCTTTTAATCAAAATCCCTGTACCCTTTACCCTCTTAGGCTTAAAGTTCACTTTCTTACTTTCATGACCACACATTAGACTTATTTTCACACATTATAGAATCCATGATGCTTCTTGTTTTTGGTTACCCTATTTTCGGAGACTCACCATTTACACGTCTAGCTCGTTTATTAGGATCTTTAGTCAGCTTCGATGAAGCTAGCAAGATCCGAAACAATGAAGGATCCTGGGGCTTAGACCTAATCCACAACATGCCCTTTACTATTCAGGCCGTCCCATTTCTTAGAGGACAAGCTTGTAAGCTTCTTTTTAATGCAATTTTTCTACATAGAAGCAAATGGGGAGGGCTCTGGTTTTTTCTTCCAAACAGTCTGTCCCCGAACAATCTCTTCATCTTTATGGTTCCCAGTTGTTTGGAGGAGATGTGTATATCTCAATGGCTGCTTCTCAAAGGAGCCCAAAAACACGCTGTTCTCAAGAATCCCAGCTCCCAGAGAAAATCCATTCAGTAGACTTGTGTCATGATTCTCTTGTTTTAGTCCCTCTATCAACATTCCATCTTTGTCTGGATCGCAGAGCGATTGAACAATATCTGAACTTCCACACTCCTTTCTGTATTCTAGTGTGATTCCAGTCAGTTGGTGAGACTCCAAAATATTGTCAGGAATCGTCTATCGAAAACATAGATTAAATTGGTCAATTAAGAGTTAATTATGGTAAAAAGAAACTTAAGTGACCGTTTAGAACTACTTCCGAGATTTTAACCCTTTCAGAAGGCTTGCCAAACATGCTTTTAACGAGGGGAGATAGATTTTATTTACCTCAAGCATCCATCGTACGTACTTGACATTGTTGACATGCTGGTTCATGTCCAAATCACTTCTCTTGGGCTACAAGTAATAAGAAAATTGCATATTCAGCATATGCTTAATTCTCGCAAGTCTTAACTGTATACATGGATGTAGCTCTGAGACATGGGAGTAATTTGGACACGAAATGTTACCTTCAAATCGTTGTTGACATACTTAGCGTTGTTGTCCAACTTTACGATTTTCTCAGGGACATCGCCTGGGATTGCCTGCTTCTCTATGAACCAAGGTGCAATCTCACCCCTCACTCCCTCTGGCATTTTCGAAAGGCGCCTAGTTTTCTGGTTCATCATCACCCAGGTGCTGTTCCATGTTTTATTACAACCATGGTTAATCAATGACAAGACTGAAACAAATCATTCATGAGGAGATCATGAAAGTGATTGGAAGTTTGAAGAAATCATACAATACCTGGTCGCACGAGCAAAAATATGGCCCGTAGCTTGGCTTCGGATCAACCAGTCTCGCTTCATACCATTCTTCCCTGATGCTTGAACCCAAGTGTCGATTTCCAGTACCTCCCCCCTGCAGGATGTGATTGTCACATTTTTTTTAATTTAAAAACTGTTCAATGCTACAAAGAGTCCTACTACCTAGCTTTAAAATTTATAGAAAAAAAAGAACAACTCCATGTTTGAGTCCCCTCTCTGAGGTTTAAATTGGACTAGAATATCGCTCGATCACAATGAAAACCGATGATTGGACTTACCAGATTGGATACTGGTCAACTTGAACTTGCATTCTTGAAACAACCCAAATAAGATCATTCTTCATCATTTCATGTGTTGCTCCAAATCCATCACTCAGGAGTCCAGACATCCAAACATGATTCAATGCCGTCTCCTGCATCATACCCAAAAAAATTCAGTATTTTCGAGTTCCGAAACAACGTAACACAATCATCACATGTAAGAAAAACAGCTTTCTTAATTAACTTTATCACCTGAAGCAGATTGAGGATGCTCTCAAGTGTGGCAGTTTTATCCGGGCCGACCTCATAGGACCTAATGACAACCCTCTGCCTGTACCCCACGCCGCCTTCGATGCTAAACGCTTGTCGGAAATGATCAACGGACTGCTTGGTTGTCGGAATGTTCTGTCGAGCCTGCTGCTGAGTCACGAAGTCATTTCTGGTTGCCACACCAGCTGCCATATCAACTTTGGTTGCGGTTTTCGTGGAAGTTCCATTGATCTTGATGCTGCTCAGCTTTTGCTTATTGGAGTCGTGGCTATCTCTGCTGGAAGAACACCTCACAGGGAAGTAGGTAAGATAAGAGATGGTGGCCATGGCATAAAACCTTTTTTCTGGGGGGTATTTTTTTTTTTTTTTGTTTTTTTTTTGTTTTTTTGTTTTAGTTAGAAGAAAGGTTGAAATTTGGAAATGGGGAAGGAGATGGTTAAATAGTTGTTTCTGGACGGAAAAAGTTAGGAAATTTGAGAGGACAAAAGAGGAAGGAGTTGTATATCTCAAAGAATTGCCTTGTGTGTGTTGAAGGTTAAGTTTTTGGTGCTCTAAATTTTTGAGTTGTGACAACATAGGTTTAATCGATCTCAAAAAGCAGACAAAAGGGCTAGTGTATAGGTTTTTGTCGCATATTTTTCTTTTGTTTTTGTCATGTTTTGGAAGAGAAATGCCAATACAAAGTGCACATGATTGGTTGGTCTAGCGGTGTTTGGGTTTTACTTAGTTGAAGAGGGTGTTTCAAGTTTAACTCACGCAAATGCGATAATGATATCATATGTTGAAAGATTGAAGGATCGTGCATGTGCTCAAAAGAAGTTGGGTTACTTCTAGTACTGTTAATTAGTTTTATGATGAAATTTCAACTTCTTTTTTATTTATGTATATAGTGAGTTCGTCTCCATTTGAGAGTGTTTTTGCAAGCACTAAAAGTGTTTTTTGACAAAAAAAAAAAATGCTTCACGAGCATGTTTCTTCATGATGAACTTCCAAATGCTTTTCTAGAAAGCACTTGCAGATTTTTTTACGTATTTGCAATAAAAACGCTTTTAGCTGAAATACACCATTTTTTTCAGAGAAGTTAAAGTTTGTCTTTTTGGTCATATACGTATCGTTCGTGTTAACAAAAATGCAAAATACAAAGCGAGGTGGATGTGGCGGTTTTAAGGCATGGCATCAGCGTGAGGACCGTAGTAATGTACGATTTGACGCTCGTAGTCTCCGATTAAGCACGGTTTGAATTTAATGCATGATTGGATTAATACAAACAAACAATTCATTCCAAACCATTCCGTAGGAAAAGGACATCTGGGGGAACCGATTGGCTGTTGGATATAGAAAACCCAAACTCTTCCTTCTCTCCAAGACTTGCCTCCCTTGATTTGATTTTGATTCTTGCTTTTGAAGGTTACCTTTGTTTTTTGTACACTTCAAGGCAGAAAGTAAAATTGATGTTATGGGATGTTTCACAGTTAAAAGTTATCGCAAAGTGATCTCCGCACGTCTTTTTTTCCCGTCTCAGTTTGTTCGCTTTGAGCATGCTAGCAAAAATTTGTATCTCAGCTATTAAGCTCAATATACGTCTTTGCATGGAGATGTAACGTACCGATTAACCTACAAGTGTCATTTCACAAGCTCACACAACCCTTGTTATTACTTCACTTTTTGTGAAATAAAACAATTGCATATTGACCAAAAGAAAAATAAAAATAAAACAATTGCATATGTTTAGTACAAAGCTGTGCCTTGAGTTGTTGTAGGAGGTGAATTCTGGTGAATAAATTTACATTTACCATTCTAAATTTACATCCGATGAAAGAGAATAAAATCATAATCAAGCCTTATCTCACTAAGTGGGGTTGGCTGTGTGAATTTTAGAATACCGTTTCGCCAAGTTTTTCGTTAGCTCTAAATACTACATATCTTTTATTACAGTTAAGAGTCTTTCTAGGTCTTCTGTTATCCAATGAAAAAGAAATCCACAATGCTGCTGTAATACAGAAAACTAACACAAGATGAGCAGTGCATAATTTTTGACTGCCTCAAGAAGTTGATTCTTGGGGTCCACCGTCCACGTATTCCTCAATGCCAAGTTACAGTGTGAACTCAAACTCTTATCAGTATTTTTCTGCGGAAAAGAATCATCTTTGGATCTCTTCTACCTAATTCTCCTCATCAAACAATTGAGCTCTTGAAATTTGATTCAACGGTTAAAAACAGGGGCCCACTCTAAAAGTTAAAAGAACTTTAGCCATTGGATCAAATTTCAAAAGTCCGTATTGTTTGATGAGGAAGATTAGGTGGAAATGATCCGGAGAAGATCCCTTTCGTTTTTCTGCATCTAAGTTCTGGAAAAATTCTAACACGTCGGTGTCATTCAACGCCGGGATTTCAACATCAGCAAAGTTGGGAAATTGCTCTGTTTCTTTACGCCCAAGCAAAGTTTGACTTGCAACGATGACGGCGTCGCCGTGAGTTAGTGAACAGGCAAGAGTTAGGGAGATGAGGTTGGGGATGCCTTGCATACGAAGGGAACAAACAAGCAAAGCCAAAGGGAGAATTAAGGAATGTGTCCATCAAACATAATGAGACAAGCAGTAGACTCAATTAGTAAAACTAAGCACGACCGATGTTTACCATGTCGATTATGCAATTGTTTTCCCTTGGTCTGATTATGCTAAGCATCGGGTTGAACGAATGTTTGGACTTTTAGACATGTTGCTCTTCGAGATTAAGTGCGTAATTAATTACTAATTACCATATAAACAACATTCTTCTGCCCCACATTGCTAACAAGTGGGTTCATCAGAAAGAACAAAAGAGGCGATTATAAATTAGAAGTGAATGTGTGCAAGTGAGACTCTTTGACTTCCTTGGCCAACATCCACAGATAAATTTTCTTTCAGTCACCTCACACGCACCTCATGCAGCAACCGAGGAGATGCAGATCAACACGAATCCTGTCTTCATTTCTGCCCAGAAGGGTAACGAATGTAGTGGCTGTTATGTTTCAAGTTGAAGTTCTACTTGCCACATTTTACGCCTCTGGAAGTAATTGAAGAGACAGGCAAACGTGAACAATACTGAAACGTGCATGTCCTCTGGAAAAAGTCCTTCCGTACTGTTAAAGTTCTTGAATCACAGGAACCTACATTTCATAATGGTTATAGGAAGGCTGTCCAAGATAACGCTACAGGAACATTAACGATATTTCGAGCGGAATTGGATAAACTAGAAGCTAAATTTTCACTATCTGCACAGCACTAAATAAAGCTCTGTTAAAAACAAAAAGTAATACATCAGATTTTAAACCGGACAAAAACCACATTCGTTACAATAATACAGAACATGGCAGCAATTCCATCCTTCATATTACCTCATGAAACAAAATAAGAAGGAAAAGAATGAACCAATAATCTTGTCAGAAGTTTTATTTGGAACAATATGATTCACTTGAGAGTTTTATCTGTACACTCTGATGTTGACTCTTCCGAAAAAATGGTTTCTGATAACTAATCAATAATCCAATTCAACAACTGATTTTGAGTATATTCTTCTAAACTTGGCAACAGCACAAAAATCTGGTAAATATGGACTCAACCTTTCAAGTTACAGGTTTGCCAAACTCACCAATCACCATCAGCAGCCCTATTTAGCAAGTGACCTGTAAAACATTGAACCGGGAAAGCTGTCAAGCCAAGAAGAATATTAAAAGTTTGAGAATTTGCTATGTTGAAGTGAAACTTGAAAGGAGATATCTTACTTGCAGTAACTCAAAGGAATTTGGTGGTTAACACAACAGAGTTCTCTCGGAGTTGAGAAATCCCTCTTAATATCTCATGCCTCTCTTTGAAGTCAGCTGAGAAACCTTGAACGCCACCAATAGCCTCATCAAGACTTTAAACGAGCAGTTCCTTCACTAGCTTGAAATTAAATTCTCAAGGTACCGAACTGCATGCAACTGATAGTCTTTGTCTAGATGCTTAAAAAGTGCACTGTGTGTACAAGAATCAGGCTCGACCTCTCTGTCAAGCATCTGTTTATACAACCTCAAAGCCTCCTTCCAGTTCCCTATGTTGCAGTTCTCATTTATTAGAATAGTGTATGTATACTTATTTGGAGCTATTCCTTTCTCCTCCATCTCAGTAAACGACTTGTAAGCCTGATCCATTCTCATCACTTTACAAAGGCCATTTATCAGCGCATTGTAGGTGACCACATTTGGCAAAATATGCTTCTCTTGCATCTCTGAGAAGTACATATATGCCAGTTCTAGTCTTCCCTTAGCCGCGTGTGCATGAATCAATACTGTGTAAGTTATCACCGAAGGAGACAAACCTTTGCCAAGCATCTCATAAAACACCTCTCTTGCCTTCATGAGTTGGCCACTCTCCAGGTGAGCGTGAATGATGCTAGTATAAGTTATATGGTCTGGAACGATACCATCACGTACCATTTTCTGCAACAAGGTATATGCTTCATCCAAATTGCCCAATTTACAAATCCCATTCACAAAAATATTGTATGTGAACAAATCAGGAGGGAAACCCCCTGCCAGTATTTCTTCTTGCATGCTAAATGCCTTGGAAGGGTCACCAAGCGTCAATTCACCCACTATTCGAGTATTGTACGCAAATCGGTCCGGCTCCACTCCTCTATGCAACATCTCATCAAATAACTCCTTGGCCATCGATAAGTTTCCCGCCTTGCAAGATCCATTTACCAAGATGGTATATGTAAAAACATCAGGGCAAGTTCCTTGATTGGTCATTTCTTTTTTAAGCTGTCGAGCAACAGCCAAGTCTCCGGATCTGCAAAGACCATCCATAAGTGTGTTATAGGTGACGAGAGTAGGAGTGAAAGTTCTATGCCTCAACTCATCAAACAATCTGAAAGCATCCCCCAAGTTCCCTAATCTACAATACCCGTATATTAGAGTGTTGTATGAAACTATATCCGGCCTTATATTTCTCTTTAACATATTGGAAAACTGTTCCCTGGCATCAGTCACTCTTCCCCGCTTGCAGAGTCCATACATTAACGAATTATAAGTAGCCACGGTGGGATTCGCTCCTCTAATTACCATTTCTTTCTCAAGACATAATGCCTCTTCAAGCAGTCCTTTGTTGCAATACCCACAAATCAAAGGGTTATAAGTAAATGCTGTAATCCTCAATCCAGATTTCATCATTTCCTTGATCAGCCCCTTGGCCTGCTCCAGCTCCCCTTTCTTTGACAGCCCATTGATCAACACATTATACGTTACATCGTTGGGAAAACACTCTATCTTTTGCATCTCTGACAAAAGGTCAAGTGCTTGTTGCACTTCTCCTTCCCTGCAGAATGAATCCAACATAGTATTATAGGTAACAATCGTCGGCTTAATCCCAGCCTCGCCCATCATTCTGTAAACGTCTTTAACTCTAGTCACAAGGTGTTTATTTCTAAGTATCCTAAGAACCCTATTGCAGTTCTTCACGTCTGGCAACAACCGGTTTCGAACCATCTTATCGAAAAT